CATAATTCCAAAAATTGATTCGAGCCTCATCCGGTTAACACTCGGGGCCCCCGGGGCCCCGCCCGAATATACCAACAGGTTTGAAATCATAAAACGGACTCGCTCGAACTCACGGAATGTGTAAAACAATATCAAATCTAAGAATCATACCCCAAACCAAATTGATTCAAACTTAAAATTTTCAAGTTCTTTAATTTACTTCCAATGCGCCGAAATATGCTTAAACTACTCGGAATGAGACGAAATTTTGTGTGCAAGTCTTAAATCACTATACGGAACTATTCCCAAACTCGAAATTCCAAACGGACTTCAATTACTCAAAAACCTACTCCAAACCAATTTTAAAGAACTTTAAACCTTCAAATAGTTGATTTTTACTATTAAGCGCCAAAACACTCCTGGGTTATCCAAAACCCGATTCGAACATATGCCTAAGTCTGAAATCATCATACGAACCTATTCGAACCGTTAAATCCCGATTCCGAGGTCGTTTTCTCAAAATGTTGACCGAAGTCAAACTTGGCCTTTTAAAGTTAACTTAAGGAATCAAGTGTTCCGATTTCAACCCAAACACATCCAAATCCCGAACCAACCATCCCCGCAAGTCATAAATTATTAAAAAGACATTCGGAGAGTTTTATTTAAGGGAACGGGATTCTAAAAGTTGAAACGACCGGTTGGGTCGTTATATTATTGCTTTGAAATTAACATACAAGTGTTCCCCATTATTACAACACTCAAAGATTAATAAAATAATTATCCCCAAGTATCCAAATAACTTTATTCACTTCAGTAATTCTCGTGTGGTTCGGGTCTAAATTAAATTGTATTCCTAAGCTCGAAATCAATCGAATTAGCAATAGAAATTCAAGGGGACTTACACATTAGCCTACCTCGGCACCACAAACCTTGAGTTCTTGGATTTTTTTTGGGGGGGGGGCCTTACATTCTCCCCCGCTTAGGATCATTCGTCCTCTAATGAGAAGTAGAGTACGTCACAGAACACTTAACATAACTCATTTCTTCTTCCACACATCTTAAGCTCCCAAATTTGACTAACTCCCAAATTTTTCAGAAATTTCGGCAGAGTCTCCTTTGCAATTGGGCCTAACCACCTGCCATAGGACCACCAAAACAACTCCTAACAACACATCCACAACTCAACAAATATCACGATATATATCAACAACACTAATCTCAACATTACAGGCATTATATTATCAAGAGTGATATCTGGACATGAACTGCACATTTTTAAATCATAACACCTAGGAAGTACCTTTCAAATCAAAACCAATTGCTATACAATCAAGCGAAAATAGTTTCTTTTCACAACACTTTCGGCCTTCAAGGTGACCTTCTCGACTTACAGACTTCGCGATAACACATTGACGTAGGCAATCCCAACTTCCAGACTTATCTAACAAAGATGACAATTAGGTACCTCTCATAAGCTAACTATCCATTAACTTGACCTTCAATAACCTATATCGGAACAATATACAAAGGATTTCCAATTACTTCCTTAGACATAGACACGTGAAACACCGGGTACACGGAGGACAATAATAGGAAAACATCATATTTATAGTTTGGCCTATTTCGTTCAAGATTTCATAAGACCTAATGTGACTACACATACTTTACCTTCCTTAACAATTCACCCAATATATTCATAGAGATAATCTTGAGAATAACCCGTTCACTTTCTTCAACTCTAAATCCCTATGCCGAACGCACAAGCTAAACCTTTGGCGACCTCCAACAATTACTCTAAGATGTGCTAGCATGAATATTACCATAAAACTTCCTATCCAATATATTTGATCACAGGATGATACTTCTTCTTTGACATGTTTGAACCTTCAACCCCCATAGGTTACTATAAATAGGAACAATGAGGTCCGAGATTGGGCTGGAATATTTTCAAGAATCCATCAATGTGCTGAGCAGATCATTTCAGGAGGTTATATCCTAAGAGACATGAAGGTTACTACCAATAACACTTACATGGTTAATCATTGTGATGAAATCATTGATTCTACAAATGAGGCATAGAGTTGCCTAATAGGCATTGATAATGTAGGGACCATGTTCATGATTCTGTGATTTAAAAGAAATGAGTCATTTTAGACATGTGACATATGTGAGGCATGGTCGGGAGGATAAAGACATTAGCGTCAGTTATTCTTGGAAGACTATGAGTCATAAAAAGGACAACAACAATTGTTTCATTCCATATGTGCCTTGTTCAGCAATAGTAGGCCTCAAGAGAAATATCCAAGTACGTGACACCAATCGCCTCTTAGAATGTAAGAAAAATCAGTTTAACACAAAATGAGAATATTCTAGCACCCTGAATGTGATATAGGTTTCAAAATACATGAAGTTGCATTATGCTCTCAACATTAACTAACACAAGGAATAGATATGCCACAAACCCATGAGGATGAAAAATGAAGTTGAACACTTGTGAGATTATTATCATTCTAACAGCTTAACCCTTTACAATAGTTGATCCTATATGAGAGGACTAGAGATACAACAAACTTGTCTTTCAAATCAATATGCTCACCATATGTGCTAGAATCTGAAGCATCCACCTGAAGTGGGGAGGAAAGTCGTTGTAAGGCTGCTTAACTTTCAACCACACACGAGTGCAATCATGTAGCTAGGAAATCTTAATGTTGGTATGAAATCATGTATTTATTAGAGAGAATGAACACTTTGCTATGAGCTAGACATGTTTCTGCCATAATAACTCTCAAGTTGTAATATCAGGCCACATCATGGGCAACTACTATATTAGGAACAAAGTGAGTTAGTCACTGAGGAATGATCTAGGTAGACATGAAAGTCATACTGAGATAGGTAAACAAAAAGATCTTCATGTGACAAATTTGTGAAAATCTCAAATTTTCCAGAAACTTTATGCGGACAAGTGACCCCTTTCAATTGACAGGTACACATATGATAGGTGCTGAGATATGCTCTTATGTTACTAGACAGTGAAAATGATTCATGATAGTATTCATAAAGGAGTGAAGTTATTGTTCAAACCATAGGGTCCACATACACCAGAGAGAAAAAGAGTGGCTCAAGAAGGATCTCAACACTAGGATGCTTTACATTGGATTTGATACCACATAGGCAAACTTTGTGACGATGCATGCATAAGCACAAGTGGGCATATGTTATCTACTTGAATCAAAAGGTTCCGTCATAAATTCATCAGGTATAGTCTCTTGTTGAGAATTTAGGAAAGTTAGCCTAAGGTTATAACCCAATTCAAGGAGCTCATTATAGAACTCAATTTCTCAAGAGGCTGTAAATATAAGGAATTGTGATAAAGGGGCTTCACGAATACTGCGTCTCGTTCAAAGAGTAGATATAGAGAACGACTCATAAAGTTGTTCCGGTTCTATCCCAACTTCCATAGTAACATAAGGAGTGACATATGACAAAGTGGAACCGGAATCAATAAGAGCATACACATCATGAGATTGGACAGTTAATATACCTGTAACCATATCTGGAGAAGCCTCAAACTTTTGACGCCTCCTCATAGCATAAAATATGTTGGGCCCTCCCGAGCTCTGAATACCACCCCTAGATTCTCCACGCCCTGCGGGTGGTATAGTGCCTCTAGCTGGGGGAGGCATTGTGGATGTAGTATCTATGGAACTGGATGGTTGTGTCGCTCCCCCGCCCATGCTCTGGCGAGACGAATGACAATCTCTATGAATATGACCCCTCATACCACACTTGTAACATACATAGGTACCATAGTGACATACTCTCGGATGACATCTCCCATACTTCACACAACGGGGATGAGGTCTGCTAAACTGACTCGTCCCACTGACCTGATATTTACCCCTTTTGCATACATTATAAGCATCCCCCTTATCCTTCCTCCAAGCTTCAAATGCGGGAGTTACAATTCCAGTACCGGATTGCTGTGTAGGCCTTATTGAATTTCCCAAACCTGCCACCCCTAACATGCTCCTGAGCATACTCACCACACGGTGCCAAATGTTACTTCCCGCACATCGGATAGACCGGGATGGGTGTACCCAACCTAGGGCATTTGTTCTTCTTGTGCCCTCTCTTTCCACAACCATAACATATTTCAAGGGTCATCCAACATGTTCTCAAGTGGCGCTTGCTGCAAATCACACAACCTGGTTCATTAGCACCAACAACTCTCTTTCATTTCTTAGATTCTCTCACCACATGATCCGGTGGTATGGTGACATTGGTAGGAACAAGGACACTTCCCTTAGGAACAAGTTCTTCTAATCCCTCCACGGCTTGACGCATTTTCCCAAAGAACTCTTGTGTAATCTCCCCAAGATTCAATGACGCGGTCATTCCCTCCTCGCTACTTCGAACTCGTGGATTACTCATTTGGAAAATGAGACATGGCGAGGAAATTAACTTCCTAAATGTCCATGTAGCCTCCTCATTATAGATGTGGTCGACAACACACTGATAAGAAGGACACTACTAGACACGGCTCCGAGACATCCTAGGACACTTTAAAACCTGGCTCTGATACCAAGTTTGTCACGCCCCAGACTCGGGGAGCGTGACCGGCGCTCAACCGAAAGAACCCGGACGAGTAAGCCTGTTAGATTTCCTTCTACCCAAACCCATCCATGAATAAAGAGGAGATGTACTCCATTAATCAAATACTGAAAAGATTTTATTAACAACTCATTCCCATTAATAGCTTCATTCAATTTCTAAAATATTACGAGTTTATAGAATTAACGAAAAACATGATTTTCAAATACTAACATTTGTAGTTCAATTCCCAACATCAACCACAACCTACAACCTGTCTACGGAGCCTCTAAGTACAATAGAAGAGTAATATGAAAATGTCGGCAATAAGGCCCCGGCTATACCTCAAAACACAGTACATGAAAAACAAAAGATACATGACCCCGAAATGAAGTGGGGCTCACCAAATCAGCTGAAAAGAGTGTACTGCTATCACTGATCAATGTCTCTTACTGTAGAACCACCTGCATCCATTAAAGATACAGCGCCCCCGGCAAAAGGGACGTTAGTACTGTTGAATAACACTAGTATGTATAGCTAAAAGTCCTCTTTCAAAATAGAATGCACATATAAGAAAAGGCAACACATAGAAACAGCAAGTCACAATTAATAATATCCAAATGTCCAGTTAAAACATAATAATTTTCAAAATATAAACTTCATATACAATTTTGGTTGGGAGATTATTAGCACCGATATACCACCGTCTTTGTTAGCACGGAGTCCGATCACTCCCGATCAGCTAGGCCATCTCTTTACGGACAATGTGGTTTGACAGGTGATGCGAAAGAAAGTTGTTACCAAGAGTAGTACCACCATGTGCGCAACATGGCGTCCGATCTCCACCCGATCAGCTAGGCCGTCTTCCCACATATGCCTTATGGGTTGACTTTCCCAATCCATAATTATTACCAGTTTCATCCCAATTAAGGGGAATAATATCACAATTTTACCAATATTTCAATTCCATCCCAAATAAGGGGAATAATCACAATCCACCCTCCACCGACACGTGTAGTTTCAGGTGTGGGTCTTATGACCCACCCTTCCTCGGTTTTGATAATGATTCTCCCAAAAAAAAAATTTGATTTGATTTGCACACAGAGGTAACATAAATACAATTGTACTCACCTCAACATCTTTCATATTGTATAAATTATCATTAGTATTTTCAGACATTCATAACGCCGATATTTTCTTAGCTCATTTGGCCATTCACAAGATTCTTTATTCATGGTATGATGGCCATATTTCATATTCCACACTGTCACCTCTTTCAATTTCAAAGATCACCATCAAATATCAACATATAGAATATTTTAGAAATTATATACTTTAAATCCATTTGTAATGGGAACTTTAAATACAAATGGTTTCTTCCCAAAGAATGGGGCATACCAACCAGTAATAAAAACACACATCAAAATCATAAACAATCAATACACCATTTATTCTTGCAATACTCTTCCCGAGAAATGACAATATACAATTTCAACACATGAGTATGTACGAACTCGAATCATACTGGATATATTTATAAAGTAAAGCATTAGTTAAAACAACCACTTATGAGCATGAATTGAGTACAAAAGCTTTTAGGCAATTCTATTTTCGAAATTATTTTTAAACAGTTGAGTCGAGGCTCATTTCATAATCTTTATCACACCCTCTCATTTCATTGGCACAACTAGCCACAATTATAACTTAAATTCTTGGCACAGTGACCACACTCTATATCCCAATTCACTTATTTCATTTTCAAGCATCTTTATAGATTATCAACAACAAGACATTCTCAATCAAGACTTTAGGTACACATATGAGCAATTTAGAACCTTAAACATATCGAGTTTTTCTCACACAATTTGACATACTAGCTTTCATTTGAAACACGACTCAAAGTCATAACATTTTAATACGCAACCCATACTTTGAAACTTATGGGAACATTATGGAATTCGATTCTAAGAGAGAAAGTTTAGACAACATACCTTGATGGAGCTCTTTAGTGCTACTAAAACCACCCGCTACTCTTACAACTTCAATCTACATCAACATAATTCAATTGGACCAATATTAGTAAAGATTTCTAGGTTTTTGGTCGTTTTGGCATTTTATCAAACACCTAGAGTGTATAGCATTCAACTACCTCTAGTAATGGTATTTCTTCATCCAACAATCCTTCCTTACCACCAAAAAGAGATACTACAACATCTTTTGTCCACTAGCTACCTCCTTAGCACCATTATAATCATCAATGAACTCACATCTACTAAATTTTACTAATTAACTCATTATAAAATCTCTACAACACCCAATAATCTAGTTTAATTAATTATGGATACCAATCACCATATCATAAGTGTTAGTACTTATTCCTTGCTCATATATTCACTATCAATCCATGCATGTAGGTTTAAGGGTGAAAGATTACCTCTTGTAGACCAAATCCTGAAAGTCAACTTTTGGGGTTTTCTTGAGATTTTGAAGAAATCCTATGAAATCCAATACAAAATCTTGTTGTAACTAGTGATTGAGAAGTGAAATCATCATAAAAACACACTTAGAAACTCACCTTAAGTGTATATTGGAAGCCTTGGCCGGATGGGTGATGGAGAGACCCTAGTGAGGTTTTTCTTATCAAATCTCTCCTTTAAGTCTGTCCAAACATTATAGGCATTGGTTGAGTATATTATTCCATTTGTTAGTTCTTTAGACACTGAATTGGCGATCCAGGATAGCACAAAGGCATTACATCTTTCCCATTCATGTTCTATGTCACTCTTGTACTGTTCTTTCCGACATTTTCTGTCTATGAACTCTAGCTTATTTTTGGCTAATAAGACAACTCGCATGGAATTACTCCAAGTTGTATAGTTTTCTATTCCCGTTAGTTGTTGAGGGATTAGAACACTACCTGGACTATCGGAAGGATGTAAGTAGAGAGGATGTCTAGGGTGTATGTCCGTAAACTTTTCTCCGTTGTCCTTCTCAGTTTTCAAAGTTGCGTTCGTCATCGTCAAGGCTTGAAATCAGTGAATCGAAGATAGATTCAAGGTCGATCTTCAAGGAAAAGCTTACTCTTTGCCGAAATTTATGAATTATGAGATGAATCGCAAACCCTAAGTGAATCACCCAAATCTCTGCCGAACTTTTTTAACTTCTCACTTCTCCAACGAAATTGAGTAAATATCTCAATAGTCAATACTAGCCTTCAACTCCTCAAAGAATCAGCTCGAAACCGCCATGAATCTATGGTTCTAATACCATATTCAAAGGGAAATGGGAGCTGTTCTTCGAGCTATGAAGGAAATAGCAGAAAGAGAGAGAAGAGAATGTTCTGGAAAATTTAGACTATATTATTCCATCTCACTTTACACGTGGGTAGTCACTTGTGTATATATCACCTTACTAACTACTTCAAACAATACATATAACCATCTGTTAACACTAAACTAATTCTAACTAATTATGTACAACTTATACTACTAATGTACAACTCTACACTGCACATATTGATTTCAATAGAGGGGAATAAGATACTGATAGATATTGCCAAAAGATTTTTAAAAGAAATCCATTGCTTTCTGAATTTATTTTAAAAATTTTTTTGGTCAATGACCGTTAATTCACGTGCTCTTGCCATTTTAACACTACTTCAAAAGTCCAACTTTGAAATTAGTGGTAGTATCATAAGATTTTCATTTGCCAAAAATTGTCACTTCTTTAAATTTGGCTATTTGTTATATTTGACTATATGATAAAGATTACGACAAGACTTTGAGACTTATGGATTAGATAATTAATCTATGTAATTCCTATCGTTTTTTACATCTTATTTTGGCAAATGACATCCATATGAGTAAAAAAAAATGTACGATGAAGACATATAAACTTGGGCGGGGCATCCAGTCAAGGAAATGGAGCTTAGCTTATAAAGATTTTAAATTTTTTATTTAGAGTAGCATTTTTTCAATGTACCCGGGGCGGGGCGGGGGTTGAATCTACTAGTAGTAACACTGATATTAATATTGGCAACTAGCACTAGTAGTGTTCTTTGGAAATCAACAAGGCTATTATTACACATATTTGGAGGATGCGAAGAAATATGTAGATTTTTTTGGCTATCGAAGGTCACAACCACGAAGAAGTTATAATAGTCTGGAAGTTACCGTTTAAGAAAATAAAGTTTCTTATCCTAGCTGATTTAGGTAATATAACTTACTAGAGATTTAAGTAATTCTATTAAATTTTTCCAATGTAAAAAGAAAAGCAGTCAAAGAGACGCACTTTAGATTCTGTGGACTGAACATATTCTTTGAGAATATATAAATCGTAGGCAACATGAGATTGGCGTGAATTAGCAGCAACAACCCTAAAAACCAAGGGGCGACCGGAATATTAAATTCACAAACCAGCCAAACAACCTCAAATATCCGTTATCCACAGTGTCGCTACCTTTTCAAGTGCTGACAGAGATTCAAGCCTAAAAATATCTTTACCTCTGATATTTTTCTTTCTTTGACAAAACAAAAATCCAACAATTGTGAGTATTCTTATAGTAGTAGATAAATTGATCTGAATTCTGAGTGAATTTCTTTGGTAAAATGGACCCTGCCCAAGAAGCCCAGAACAGAGAAGCTTTTCGGCAAGCTGTTATTAACACACTTGAACGCCGTCTCTTTTACATCCCCTCTTTCAAGATCTACCGTGGCGTTGCTGGCCTTTACGACTATGGCCCTCCCGGTTGTGCCGTTAAATCCAACGTCCTCTCTTTCTGGCGCCAGGTATTTTTCTTTCTCTTACTATCAGAATTCTCAATTTTGTGTTATAGTGCTTTCCAATTCAGTTACTCAACTTTATGTTAGGGATATGTGCTTTTACGCTAAATTGGGGTAATTAACTAGATAGTGAACATTAATAATATGGGTTTAATTAGTCAAAATTGGGGGTTTTCTTTCATATTTATATGATACTTCAAATGGTGACTTGCTGTTCTGTAATTCAGCATTTTGTTCTTGAGGAGAACATGTTAGAAGTTGATTGCCCATGTGTTACGCCTGAAGTTGTGCTAAAGGCGTCAGGTCATGTCGATAAGTTCACTGATCTAATGGTGAAAGACGAAAAGACGGGCACTTGTTACCGAGCAGATCATTTGCTCAAGGACTTTTGCAAAGACAAACTTGAGAGAGATCCTAATCTTCCAGCTGAAAAGGCCGCGGAATTCAGGCACGTGCTTGCTGTTTTGGATGATCTCTCTGCTGAAGAGCTCGGTGCTAAGATTAAGGATTATGGCATTACTGCTCCTGATACCAGGAATCCTCTTTCTGCCCCTTATCCTTTCAACCTCATGTTCCAAACATCCATTGGGCCTTCTGGCGTAAGTCCTGGGTAAGAATATCTTTAGAGCACACATAATATAGAAGTGTGCTAACCCATTACTTTTGTGCTTAGTTTGTCATAAGTCTTTTTGTTATAATTTATTGCCTCTGCAATTGATTTTCCTGCAGTTACATGCGTCCCGAGACTGCTCAAGGCATTTTTGTTAACTTCAAGGACTTGTACTATTACAATGGAAATAAGCTTCCTTTTGCGGCTGCACAGATTGGTCAAGCTTTTAGAAATGAGGTTCATAAAATCCATATCTTATTATTGCCTTTATTCTTTTGATGTGTATCCTGGTCATATTTGTATATTTTCGACCAAGCAAAAATATCATTCTTTTAGATCCAAACTAAGCCTTTGTAATTCGGATAGTGTCTATTTTGCAAAAATTATAACATGAGGTCTCAGTAGATTACTGTGTCAAATCCTGAATGATGGAATAGTTGCCAGGGCAACAAAATTTATCCACATTGCTGATAATCAGAATCTATAGACTGTTCTATTTTATTTTGTTCCTTGGGTATGACGAAGTAGACATAGATGATGCTTCAAACTTGAAACTGATAGCATATGCTAATACATTTTGGTCGCCATATTAGGCAACCATAGGCTTTAACATTTTACCTAACTGTTCTTTTTTGGGTCAATTCATATTTGATCCATATGTTACTGAAGCTTTCTAAATTTATTTAACCTCTTTAATTAACTCATAGATGGAGCATGTTTATGTTCAAAACGATGTTTGCTTTTTTGGTATATGCAGATCTCACCACGTCAAGGTCTCCTGAGAGTCCGTGAATTTACACTGGCTGAGATTGAGCACTTTGTTGACCCGGAGGATAAATCTCATCCAAAATTTCCTGATGTTGCAAACTTGGAGTTCTTGATGTTCCCGAGAGAAGATCAGGTTTCTGGAAGATCAGCTAGGAGAATACGTCTTGGTGAAGCAGTTGTCCAGGTAAGATAAAGTCAACAATTAACTTCTCGGTTTCTTCCTAGTCTCCTGGATAAATCCTCTATTTTTTCCATTATACATGTTTGATTGAGTCATCACTGTTGCTTCTGCAGGGAATTGTCAACAATGAAACTCTTGGATATTTCATAGGGAGAGTATATCTATTTCTTACTCATCTTGGTATTGACAAAGACCGGCTACGGTTTCGTCAACATCTTGCAAATGAAATGGCACATTATGCTGCAGACTGTTGGGATGCTGAAATTGAATGCTCTTATGGATGGATTGAGTGTGTTGGTATAGCTGATAGATCTGCGTATGACTTGCGTGCTCACACGGTGAGGCTTACTTAAAATAGCCACATACTGTTAGTTCTTTATATTCTTCACCCCACCCACCTCCCAAGTCTTTTCATATGGTACTTCATCAGTTGCTTGGTGTTTCCAAATTCACTGTTTACTTCTTTTCAGTAGCTATCTGTTAACTTATGGTTCGCCTAGCGTTTCATGCAAAATGAGCATAACTTTTCTTAGTATACTATCCTACACTGAACTGAGTCATGCATTGCAGGATAAAAGTGGTGTGCCTCTTGTAGCCCATGAAAAGTTTCCAGAGCCCAGGGAAGTAGAGGTCTCTCTTTCTTTCAACTTGTGCCCAAGAGATTGTGGTCTATAATATAACCCTGAATAAAATTTGTAAAACATGCTTACTAGCTTCATGTGTTATCTCTATTTTCAGAAGCTTATTATAACTCCAGCTAAAAAGGAGTTGGGTCTTGCTTTTAAGGGTAACCAAAAGATGGTGGTTGAAGCACTGGAGGTACACAGCAGTATTGCATTAGTTTACTCGTTTATGCCCTTCATGTGAGGGTTAAATTATTAAGAATATTGTTTTCTTCTGTCACAAGGCTATGGGTGAAAAGGAAGCAATGGAAATGAAAGCAGCATTGGAGTCTAAGGGGGAGGCTGAATTTCATGTTTGCACCCTCGACAGGGTTGTCACTATAAACAAGAATATGGTGTCCATCTCTAAGGAAATGAAGAAGGAACACCAGAGGGTTTTCACTCCATCAGTCATTGAACCATCTTTTGGTATTGGGAGGATAATATACTGCCTCTATGAGCATTCTTTCAACACAAGACCTAGCAGAGATGGTGATGAACAAATGAATTTTTTCAGCTTCCCTCCTATTGTAGCTCCTATAAAATGCACTGTGTTCCCATTGGTTCAGAATCAACAATATGAGGAAGTTGCCAGACAAATTGCTAGGTCGCTGACTGCCTATGGGATCTCGTATAAGATTGATATAACAGGTAAGCTCGGCCTCGAGAGTTATTCTAAGCACTAGCTTTGGCCACAATAATGTTAAGTTCTGAGTAAGTCACAATTTTTCTCTCTAATTTCCCTTAAAAGCTACCTGGATCAAGGGTGTTTTAATATTTATTCCCATCCCATTCATAATCATTACATCTCACCCGTCTACTCATTTTGCCACTTCTGGAGTAAATAAGTTGAGCTTTCAGCTGCTTGCTAATTATTTTCTTATCCTTTACTCTTTGGACAGTGATAAGAAATATTGACATGTCAACATTACTTAAAATTCCTAAGAAAATGTGCTTTCTACTTTGTCCTAAAACGAACATACATAGGTTAATCAAATTCCAACATTGGTTGCAAATTGGGTTAAAGTTTACTGGGGAATTGCAGCCAAGGGTGTGACCTAGTAGTCGATGAAGGGGGAATGAGAGATTATGCTTCGAATCCCACCGTAGGCTAAAAAGGTTGGTGATTATTCTCATCTGCCTAAGCATTAGTGAATAGAGTTACTCAATACTTTTAGTGGTATTTGTGGTCCGGCCCTTCCCCAGACCCCGCGCATAGTGGGAGCTTAGTGCACCGGGCTGCCCTTTAATACTTTTAATGGTGGGAGATGCAAATAACCAATGGAACAGTCAAGGCGCATGAGCTGGCCTGGAACATATAAGAGAGAAGGGAGAAAATTCACCCGGGAATTATTGAGTTCACTATATGAATTTTAAACAAATATTAAGTTATTGACATGATGTATTGTTCGATTGTTCATTAAGGTCCACCTGTCCAGGTTAATATTTTCCATCTATCAAATTTGTTTGCTCTACTCTCTAAATGTGACTGATAGTAACTTATTTTAGCTCATTGCTATGAACTTTAAAGTCTGGCTAAGGTTGGTGTTTACACTCCTGACAACTGCTGGGTTCACATGGTCTAAATGCAGAAATTTGAGTTTACTTCATCTTCCTTTTGATTTACCATGCACCCTTGTGCTTGTATCCTATATATCTCTATAGGATATATAGATTTACCATAACCTGAACATGTCTGCATCGATACACTGTTATCATATAATATGCTAAAGTTTACCTTGTATACCACTAGATTTTGACTGATGTAATATTTGGTGGGCATATCATAACAATGATTACCTGTCTTTGTCATTGTGCTACAATATGTATATTTTGTATTTTTTGTTAACGCTTTCCTGACTTTTACACTATTGTATTTCTTCTTTATACTGTTGTGATTTGTATGCTTGCTTGGAATCGATGGTCTACCGGAAATAGCCTCTCTATCTGCATAAGGTAGGGGTAAAACTGCGTACATAATACCCTCCCCAGCCCCCCTATTTGTGAGATACATTGGGATTGTTGTTGTTGTATGCATATTTTGTTTTTGGTTTTGATGAACTGGTGGTGCTTTAATTATTTGATACTTAGTTGTGGTCCTTGTGATTTTGTGTTTTAGGTACGTCAATAGGGAAAAGGTATGCAAGAACCGATGAACTTGGAGTTCCCTTTGCCATTACAGTGGATTCAACATCCTCTGTGACAATCCGTGAAAGGGACAGCAAGCAGCAGATTCGTGTGAATGTGGATGAAGTAGCATCTGTTATTAAGGAGGTAACCGATGGTCAGAGCACTTGGGGTGATGTGTTGTGGAGATACCCTACTCATTCTTCTTGACCCCCTGAATTGAGAATGTTTTACTTAATAGCCTGAATTGTTTACCCGACATTGACAAACTTCTTTGATATACCAATTTGGATGTAATCGTGGTTCATTCTTATTCTCTTCTTTTGTCTTTGTCCAGTACTAAGCTATCTCTGTTTCCTAAGAAATATTTACATGACAATAGTAGACATCAAGATTACCAAACCATTAGTATATGTCAAAAGTTCTAAACTAAAGCAGTTACAGAATTTGCAGAACTGAATTGAGGGACACCCATGTTATGCAGATATTTTAGTCTCTAAACCGAAAAGATTACATCACAAGTAGAACAAAGTAGGAGGTAGATATAGGGGCAAGCAAAGTCAGAAAAGATTAAACTGAGTACTCTACTCTCAACTTAGAAATGCGGCAGGTGATCACCAACACCACCAGAAACCGAGCTAGAAGCAGCAGCAGCAGCGTTGCTTCGTTCAGAATGGCAAAGCTGGCGGAGCCTGGTGGGGACATACCAAATGGCGAGTCGAGGATGTGCATTAAAGATGGTGTCGATATCCCAGCCTTGTCGAGCAGCTATGGCCACCAGGGGCTTGTAACATGCTTGTCTCCATGCCCCAACATTCTCTCCTCGCTCCTTGAAAGCTCTTCTTAGCGCATTGGAGGCCTCCTCATCAAGGCAATGAAGTGCGTAGCAATGCACGTAGTGTCGCATTTTTGGCTTATTTATGTAGCTTGCCCCTGCCTTCTTCGCGTACCTGAACACCTGATTTGTTACCTGCAATTTCGACATAATATCATCCTGTCCATTTTCATTCCATAGGATAACGTTACTGTAAGATGATTAATTTTTGCACCGTAACAATTTCAAAAGCTAAAATACGTCAGTTTGATAATTGCTTTTCCTAATTTTAATTGCCAAAAACTAACTTCAAATAGTTGATTTTTGATGGAGAATACTAGAGGATTGTTTAGTTAATGAACAACATATTGTGGAACAGAAACACCACAAAGTTAAATTTTTTTTCATAATTCCCAAACTAAAAAGAATTATTACGGCAGCGTTTATGAGTTGCTAGTTTAATTGTCCCTCAGAGACAGAGACGGGTACCATACAAGGACTCGGCTAAAAAAATAAGCGCCTAGCATAAGCCTAATTTATTAAAATCAAGCTTTGGCTCCTAAAAACTAAAAAAAAAAAAAAAAGAATAAGAAAAGAAAGCTTTATTCATACTAATTCGCAAACAAAAAACGTTGAAGTGTTAAACTCATACGTTGGTCAATGTGTAGAACTTCGATGAGGCAAGGACAAGCTCACAGGTGGAACCACTTGAGTGAAAGTACAAAAGGAGTAATGGGCCGAGGGCGAAATTCATTAAGCTTTAGGGTTCAGCCCATCAATTCCGTACCTTAGCTGTCGAGTTCTCTTCCGGACAGCTAATGGTTACCTTGACCCAATTAACGAGGTCTTCTCAACCCACATTCATTTTTATGCCCAACCTTTTCCCAACCAACTACTACCTAGAATTTTTATATCCACTCAAAATTTAAAAAAACAATTGAGTATACTATACTCAGCTCCATTTATTGAATAAAGCCAATATATTTTAGTAATTAAATTACAACAACAATAAATCCAATATAATCTCATAGAGTATTTTATCAGTGTGATGAATTGTAATATCAATTCGATATTCTTTTAAATATATTTTACAACTTAGAAACATCATAAAAAATTTATGTCAGTTTCATAACTAAAAATATCTCATCATAAAAAGTTGTATGACAATATCGATAAAATAGAAGATGTGTGTTTATGTTAAGGAATCCAAACAACAAAACATGTGTTAAATAAATTATAATCCATGGATAAGGACATTTTTATCACGTAAAATTAGTTAAGGGCGCGAATTATTTTTGAATTGTAAAATAGTTTTTTAATTAAATGAAAAAAGAGAGAGATAGAAAAGAAGGTGACCTTAGTGGGACATTTTTCACCACGTTCCTTGGCAATATTCTGAACTTGAATCAAGAAATCCCGGCATTGCTCGTAGAGGTGGAACAAGTAATCCAAGCCGTTCTTTTTCCCACGCGCCACCTCACCTGGCTCCGTCACGATAAAAGGATGCTCCCTTTGCCTCTCGCTTATTCCTCCCCCGGCGTCGTTAATATTCCACTCATCTTCTTGACCTTCCTCCGTTTCTTCATCCTCCTCCGCCGACGCTCTTCCCCTTCTCTCCCTCCCCGTCGACACCACCTTCTTCCTCCTTCTTTGTTTCATTCTTCCACCGCCAACTGCCGCCACCACTTCCCATGTCGTTCCCCCTCCGCCGCTTCCAACTGCTTCTCTCTCTTGCTGCTGCACTGGTTCCTCAGACAACCCTACTTCACCATATATATATATTTACACAAATTGAGAACTTATATCATGTGAAGGAAAAAAGTGCTACTCCTACCTATACGTTTTTACTTTGACACACGTTTAAAATATCGTCATGACACCTTAATGAGTACATACAAAATATATCTAATTACTCCCAAATTCTCATTTTATGTGACAGAGTATAAGGTTAAAACACTTAGTTTTCATGTGTATTAGAATATTAATTTTTTATAACTTTTAAATAAAATAACATATATTTAATTTGAGTGAGAATCACTTTAAACATAGTTAACAATCCAAAATATCTATAACGAGTATGAAAAAATTGTAGTAAAGAAAATTATTTACCTCTCAGATCAGTAGAGTGATAGTATTACATAAGAATGAACTAGAGATGGTCAAATATGGAATATGCAACAAGAACCCTAATACCTTATAGTTGCTTGGTTGCATGCATCAGTAAAGATAAAGTATTTTCCTATAGCTAGGCTCGTGGTTCAGGTTCAATATAACAGTGGCTCCACAAATTAAACATAATGCTATTTCGAAAAAATTATGCATGTTATTATCTACTAGAAATACGTAGCAATTCAATTCACAGTTCGTTAACTAGCTACTCTTAAACATTTAAATACCAACTACGTGCTCCTAATAAGTTGAATTTGGTCTTAGAAATCACTCGAACTGGTTATGTGCACTTGTATATCCAAGTGCAAGTATATACTCTAGGAGTTATCAAGTTCAAAGAAAACAACCTTCTTGTGAGAGAGCGTCAAGGGCATTAGTTCCACCATCAGACAGAAGGTGGCCGCGCCGCCGTAGTTCTTCCTCCTCAAGCCTCCGCCGTTCCGCCCTGATTGCAGCTTTGATACCGTACCTTTCTCCGACGAGGAGTTCCCATCTGAAAATCTGTGAAAGGCTATTCATCATATCATCAAGTTCCTCATCTTTCATGTCCAATAGAGTATTCACCGTAAAACCTAGCTCCGCTATTTTAGCAGCAGTGTAATAACGTATACCGTAAGCTTGAAACAACTCCTCTAGCCCTCCTAACTCCCTTGTCCTAATGGAATAGGCCGCCGATAGAGGCTGCGGCGGTGGCAGAACTGGTGGTGGAGGAGGAGGCGCCACCGCGGCTTCCAACAGCCGGGTTGGCGGTGGCATTGCACCTCTAGGGTCCCATTTGAACAAACTCGCTGAGAAAGCCTCTGGGTCCATATGCTATAACAATGCACACACTTGGGTTAAATGGAATGAAAGGGTTAAAAACTGTTGCTACATATAAGAGTTTACCTTCTGACAGCATAAAACAAATATGTATATCAATTATTTATTAGGTAATTACACAATTTACAACTAAAACACTTTAAGTTTTTTTTTTAACACTATCATCGTATAAACATTTAACTTATCTAAACCGATAATTCAAATTTGGTAAAATTGTCCAAGTGACCTATAGGTTACAGGATCGAGTCATTCCTTGGGGTGCTGTCCTTCTCCGAATTCTGCGTGAATAACCTAGCTAATATAACATATAAAAGCAGGGGCGTATCTAGGGGCCATTTGAACCCATGCTCCCCGCCCTAAATATCATGTATAGTAATGCTATATTTTTCTAAAATTATTTAAATATATGTGTGTGCACTCATGCTCAAAGTATTATATGATGTGATGGTTATTGAGTGTACCTCTTGAGGTGAGATTGTGAATTCAAATCTTATGTCAATCTTGTTATTTTTTTCCTTTTTTTTTTCTAAAAGTAGACGCCCACGGGAGATGGACGTGTCTGGTGTTATTTTTTGCGTATTAATTAAGTACTTTTTCTTTTTATTTTTTTTTGTTTGGTTTATTCTTTCAAAATTTTCACACGTTGAAATTCCTATTCTTCTTTTGTTGTTGTAAAATCTTATATGATTAAACAAAATGTATATATTAACTAGTCGCAGTATATGATGTAGCATATAGTCAATGTGTTCAGCTGATCTCAATATTTTCAACATGAAAAATAGATATAGATGTAAGAACTTTACTATTTAAAAAAAAAATAAACTTATAATTTCAAAAGTGCAATGGATACGCAATCGTAAGAAATAAAGGTTGAATCCGTAAAATTGCTATTCTGGATCCACCTCTTCTTAATAGTGTACCAATCCTGTCAAAATCCTGAATCCGCCTCGGTATAAAAGTAAGTTGATATTGTTGAAGTTTTTCTGTCGTGTATATGATATAATCAAACTCTATAAATAAAAGTTTTACATAGAGTACGTTTTTTTAAAAATCTTAACTTGAAAATATTTTGTAATTTTTTCTGGGAATTGCATCAGAGATAACTGAATACCAATGTGCTTTTCTGCTTTTGCATACTGAGGAACGTACGATAGAGGACTGTTGCAAGGGACTAAGAATTATTTGTTTTTTCTGAAGAGGGACTATCCTAGTTCCAATCAGACTAGATATAGGCCTTAGGGGATTGAGAACGAACTAGTCAGAGAAACACGGCGAGTATCTAGTTTTCAACTCTTTCAGGACTTTATGAAACCATTTTGGGACTACGTTTAAGACTTTACTCATTTTAGAAAGTTGGCCTAATTATAGTTGTGACACAAATTATGCTGTGACACAAATTATGCACCACTCCAGGATAGATTTTTAACTTATATGTGGTTACAGCATAAAGAATTTTCACACCCACTAGCATGTCTGAATGGTTATCTATTAAGTAATGTTTATCTTTTAATTGACTTGAGGATAATTTAAAATTTCATTTACACTCTTCCGTGGCATTTGTTTATTATATATATATTTTGAATGTCAACCTAAAGTTTAGTATTTAACTTTCAAATTTTTTAAACTTATATGTATTGGTTTTCAACAATTAAATTAACTGTTTGCCCTGTCACGTTCTTATTACTCCTAAATAAAGGTAAATTCTGTTTGACATTTTTCCTTTTGGTGAATGCCAATATGATATACTACGTACTTATTTACTTATGTGAATAACCACTCATGCAATTAGTATTGTTTATGAAATATATTTCTTGTTAAAAAAGTTGTCATTAATTCTCACGATATATAACGGAGCTCTCAAGTTATCAATATTTTACATAGTAAAATGGACAACGTTGACGTCTTAAATCCAACTGGAGAGAGAGAGAGCGTGTGTGTAATTATTTGTCCATATATACATTGTAAAACTCATGATATGTATGTATTCTTCTGCTACATATAACAAACCTTAATGTATGTTACGAGCAATCAAAATTAGACTACACGGAGATAAGAGTAAATCTCTTACCTTGACAAATATGAAAGGTTATACAGAAACCAGCAATTAAGACTAGATGATACATAGTATGAGTCCACGACCAATCAGAAAGGCTTGCTTGTTGACAATAGTGGATTTAAAATTTAGACGTTATCACTTTTAAGTTGAGATAAAATAGGTTCGTAATATCTAACTCTATTATATTCTTTGCGCCACTCGTTGTTGAATCGATTAGCTGAAATTATACCTCGGAATTATGATGAAGGTGCATTCTTCACCGTTATTAGATACTCCCTCCATCCCTATTTACGTGATGGTGTTAGGATTTCGAGAGTCAAACAAATTATTCTCATAACTTTTTCATATGATTTTTAAATATTTTAAATTATTAATTATTGTACTAATAGTATTTTTACATGTCTTTCGGAAACAACCTCTCTACTCCCTCGGGATAGGGGTAAGGTCTACGTACACACTACCCCAGACCCCATTAGTAAAATTTCACTGGATCGTTGTTGTTGTATAATATTTTTACATAGTTTTTAAATATGTTAATTTTATTTAGAAAAATTTAAAAATTATATGTCCAAATATACAATCAAGATTAATAAGTTTGAATCTTAAAAAAAAAAAAGTTCGCATAAATTGGGACAAAAAGAGTAGTTTTTCCCTTCAAAAATGTACTTTTTGCTCGAGCGAGGAGTATGTAAAGTAAAGGATTCAGTTGAAGGGGAACAAAGTTAGAGACATTTAAGAAACACTATTACTTGGCAAAGTTAAAGTAGGATGCAGGGGAAGTACGTACAGAAAGAAGCGTCAGATGGAACAGTTCAAAGTTTGATGATATATATGCCAAAGAACTGAGCTTAATAATCTTTCTGTAATCTAATAAACTGTTCCCTTTGTACTTTCCAAAGACTAAAAAAAAGAGAGTAGCTTCTCTCTTTTTCATTCACATTTTTAAATTTATATACTAGTGCCAATTCACAACCACAATAACTTCTTCCAATAAGGGATCGTTTGGTTTGAAGACAATCTCAGTATAATTAATCACAATATAATTAATCTCAACATAACTAATCTCAGTATAATTGACTGTTTGATATGTATGTATTAGTTCTGAGATTGTCAATTTTATTGCTTTATTCTGGGATTACTTATCCCGGGATTACTATTCCACCCCTGGCAAATATACGTTATCCCAGTACTACTTTTAATTTTGGGATAACTTAACCAAACAAAAAATAAGGCGGTACTAAATTTTTATCCAGAATTATTTTAACGTAACCCCTAATAGTATACGAGAAATTGATAAAAATGTTCTCTTATGTTTGAATATAAGTTTAAAAAGTCCTTTGAATATAATCCATCACTTTGAGTCGATTGAATTTGCCAAAAGTAATACTTTTTATTTTGATCATATATTTAACAAACTGATGGGATTGTTAGAATTACGGGAATTGTGAATAAAAGAATGATTTAAGAGAAACAATATTTGGAGGTGTAATTTTTTTGATTTCAGCTATTTTTTATTTATCTCCTAGTGTCTCATACAACTTTTTGTGGTGCAGTTTCTACTATTATTGACGAAATTTTTATGGTATTTCTGGTTAATTTTTTTTTTATAGTTCTCATTAAATCTTAGTGCTAGAATTTGTTAAAATTTAGCGATTGCCAATTGAGAAAACTAAAACTGTTCAAAAGAATATTTCAAACCTACCCCAAACATAGGATCCTAATATAACTCCAATCTACACGTATTTACGAATGTATGCATATTGGTGATTGTTGTATGAGTTGATGATTGATTTGTCAAGATTCAAATTCATTCAAGATTGTATTCTAATCCACGAAGTTGATGTACATATTAACTGGTGTAATTGTTACATAATTTATCTATAGCAATCCACCCAAAAGTTTATTTCATTTGTTTTAGGAGAAATATGCATTTATCCACATCGTATGATGTTCATACTATTTTTTATTCATTTACTGTACATCAACCATTAATAATATATATTTGTCTCTTAAGTCTCAACTACTTCACTGGTCTGAATTTATATGCTTATTTCTTTTTCACTGTATCACATTTTGAAATGACGTCATTTTATACATTTTTATATTTATAACAGTATTATACATAAAATATTTCTCTCAGAACTACAAAGATCTGGTCAACCTTAGGACTATAAATTCTCACCTATGAAATGATGACACGTAGTAACACGACAGTGTACGAGTTCTATAAATTTTGTCGCATGGCGAAGGAGAGCTCTGGTGCAGAGAGTCGCTCGCAGCATAGATTCGCTGAACTCATTGTCCGGCTTTACTTTCTTTGGACTTTATTTGCTTTTGTCTCTTCTGTTTTACTTGGTAACCAGGAAAATTCATCGAATTAATTTTTTTTTTCATCAACTTAATTGTTTTACCTACTAATTTGATAAGATCATAAACATAATCAAATATTCAAAAATTTATATACATGACCAGTGCACAACACAAATAAATCAAGGAAGAAATCTAAGCCTAAGTAACTTTTATACTCCAGTTCATATTAGGGGTCAATACTGGAGTAGATGGACGAAGTCACTTGAGAGTTTAAGTTCTTATCCTGTCTAGATGTTAGTAGTTTTTTACATCGTTGTCTGTATGTCAAATAGATGGAAAAAGCTATATATAGGGAGGTCTAGTTCTAAAGTCAAATATGAATTAGTGGTTGTATATATCCATACTTGGTTAAATAAATTTTCTAATTGTTTGACCTAAAAAAAAAGTAACTTTTGCTCTCGTCTTCTGCATGTTGTCTTGCCAATTTTGTTATATTCTTCTAGATTGTTTTTACCATGTCTTGATTTTTCCACTAATAAACTGATTACCTATGAATAGCATTGTTAGAAAGTGATATAAGAGATTCAATAGTTTTTCTATATCAAAATACTTTTTAATTCTTATA